CTCTTGTTTATAAAATGTCCTCACCAGTCTCTTGTTGATAAAATGTCCTCACCAGTCTGTCCACAGACATGAGTTCAGTGTCCTGTGTCTATTGTTGATGATGTCAACACAGAAAACTTAACACATGTAGAAGCTGTTGTTACCTGACGCGCTTCTTCTTTATCCATTTCCACGTGAAACAAACCAGCGGTTGTTAACGTAAAGTATCGAAACTGTCGGTGAATCAGGGAAAACGTGACAAACCAAGACTCGTTCAGCAAAGACCAAAGACTACACAAAGAAAAACACAGAAACTCAGAACTGTTGTAAAACCCGCGGCACAAATTCATCAGCACACCAACAAGTTTGTTTCCTGTTTGTGACGAAGATCTTGTAGAGCGACATCTTGTGGTCTGGAGGAAAGACTGCAACATCAGACACTGCGGTTAGAAATCAAATGACACAGGAGGCAGTGGTGGAAAGTACTTTTACTCCAAAGTGAACTGCAATTTGGATCCAGTCTACTAATACTTTAGGTGAATTCTTCACTTTGATTTCACTTTTCTGTATAATGTCACTGCATTCAGATGAGCTGATAAGATGCATTCATGCGGTGTCGTAAAACAAGCTTCTTGTCAGAACAACTTGAAGAGTAGACAAACCTTTATTATTCGTGATTTTTCCTCTCACTTTGTAAAACACAGAGGCATAGACATTACATATAAGAGACATAAACTGTGCTTGAATATATATGTGGTCATATGCGATTGGCAGGGTAACAGAGTAAAGACGGCACCGTTTGGTAATCCAGCTTAGCACCACATTTTTCTAACAGTACAAATTATTGACAATTATGATAAATACTATGATCTTAAAATATGATCCATTGTAATTAAATCAACAAAAAACGGTGAAAAAGACACTCAGGGGTTTATTTTATGCATTTTACTTCAATAACATTCAGTACATCAATACTTTTGTCATTTTACTTAAGTAGGATTTGAATGCAGTACTTTTCACGTTTCAATTTGTAGTATTTCTAAAATAACAGATTCAGATACTTATTCTCCAACTGACTATGAAACGAGTAAAAGTATATGATATATCTCTGTAGTATGAAATGGTTTCAACAATCATAAGAAAAATAAATCACAGAGTCCTTTTGTAAATTTGCTTGCAGACTTGGTCCTCACAGGTAAGTTCCTGAGAAGAGAGAACACATTGGAGTTATTATAAACTAACTGGGTTGTGCAGAGTCACCAGCAGGACGAGAAGCTGAGTCGTACCAAGTGAAGCTCATCTCCGTGAATCCAGTGCTTCCACCCTCTGTTCTTCTTTTTTCCTTTCTGAACACAGACCAGCTTATCATTTTCCCAGGTCACCACAGTCTGGTGGGAAATGGAAAACAGAAAACTACAGTTAAATATGTTACTGCATCAGATATCAGTTTGTGAGATGACTCTATCCTGCTTTTGACATTGCTTACATGGGCTAATTTTATGATTGTAATATTCCAGTCCACTAAAGGTTTTACCTGACACGTCCGGTTGTCCATTCCCGTCATCACCTCTTGGAACTCCTCTCCAATTTTGAACGAGGACTCATAATTTCTAAAAGTAGTGAACGTCCTGATGACGAAACAATCTCCATCTTGCTTAATCACCTTCTGGGGCTTCAACATCGAGGCAATTTTGCGTGTTGCAAAATCAATGCCTGCACAAAGAGATAAAAATAGCATTCACTTTCACTACGCATAAAAAAGTCTCTAGGTCATTGATAAAAAGAAATGCATGTTAATAAATCAATATGAACCTGATCCATTCAACATTGATGATGCTGAGCCAGATTTCTTATTCAGACAAACTTTTCATTAAACAAAAGGATTTCCCTCTTGTCCTAACTAAACATTTAAATGAACACTTTCACAGATTAAAAGAAGCACTGACACCTACCAAGTGCAATCATGTATCCCTCAAAATTAACATTACTGACGAGGTCCCATGTCCCACTGTAGTTGACAGGCATCTTGTTGGATGTGGTCCTGACTCTCTGGAAGAGGCTACAGGCTCCAGTATGTGGAGGCAACAGATTTTAAGCCCTTGGGTGGGATGTTTCATTGTGTGTCAATGTGGGACAGAGGTGATGTGTTGCAGGCTGCACATTTACACATAATATGAGGAAACTATTCTGTTCCTGTTAGGACGAAAGCCCCCCTGCAGGATGTTATTCTTTAATCATATTAAAACACTGCGCATTTAATAGTGTTTTTAAGGAATACAATGTGGAGCAAATGACTCTGTGCTTGTGCAGCGTGAAATACAATCCTTCCTCCGGCTCAAATGCAGAGCTGCTTCAGCTGAACACGTCCAGACGTCAGGAACAGAGTTACAGCACACGTCTGCCTGCATGTCTCAACATCCATGTTTCTCTACATGCTAGTCTTCATGGCGTATCATGGCAGCAGATGGATACCAAGGAGTAAGAGGTTAAGATTGTAAGTGCTGTTATAGTTAAGAGATATTATAAATCCTAAAATACCATTATCTTGAATCAGACGTGCTCATGTCAGTGTGTTTGATGGATTTAATCCTGTTGTTTTGTTCATGTTCTATTTGCAGTCAAATACTGAATGCAGTGTTCACAGCTATTGTTCTGGTTCCTCAGTTCTACGTCTTAGCGAGGTAACTAAGACAGAGGTGATGGCATCAGGCCATAGAGATCACAGGTCATCTGCACAAGAGGGAGCGGGGCATTAATAATGACGCTACGTCCTCTGCTTCTGTTTTTAAAAAGGCCCAAATCCTCCAGATACTGCAGGCAGCCTCTTCTCAACAACCTGTCGGCCTCCGTCGCCTTGTCCTTAATAGCTTCAGGTAACCCACACCAGACCAAGCTTCAAAACACATTATTTGACATCAAGACAAAAAATGAGTTGTATGGATATAACTTTGTCTTTTCATAGGGTTTTCAGTGATCTTCACGTTGTTGGACCCAGTTCCTCAGAGCTTGTGGGCGTCCTATCATGTGTTTGGGCTGCTGTCATGTGGACATGGACTGTGCACTACCATCCTGACTCTGACAGCCACAGCATGTGTAAGAAAATGACCTTAACGCTCGTTCTACAGAAAAAAATGCATTCAAACATTTGATTGATGTGTTCATGTGTATTCACAGGCCAAGACGACCCCGGAGCTGTACTACACGTCTCTTATTCTGATGGTTGCCTCCATTTTCAGTACAGGTGAATACATGTACTCGTACTGTGTAGTACTCTTCAATTCAAAGTTATAACACCAGATCGTGTCTTGTTTAGGTTTTTTCACGGTGAGAGGAGGACGCTGGCTGACTAACAGGCGGCCCGTGACGGACCCGGGCACAAACAATGAGCGATAAAAAGATCCAGCTGTCCCACGTTGACATCCGACACTCCACGTATTAAAATTTCATGTGGTTTCCATGCCAACAGAATTGGTAACTTTAAACCATGGGAACAAAAACTAAAAAGTAAAAGCGACTTCAGAAAAGTATCAGGAAGCAGAAGTCTTGACTATCAGAGCGGTTTCACTTTTATTTGTTGATGGTGTAACTGTTCATAGGAAGTAAATAAATACATGATCTACACAGCAGATTCAGTGTATATTTGTAAATACATAGTTGCATATATGTATACAAAAATACAGTTATGAATATATAATCAGCACCGATAGTAACATTTATCCAGATGGGAAAAGTGTAGCTACAGAACAGATTGTAATATATGACAAAATGCAGATGTTGTATCAAAACATGACCCATGTTATCTGAGTGGTCTTATCCAAAAGGAAACTTGGAAAATATCTGTGCTGACAACAAATCTGTATAAAAATAAACTGGAAAATCCAACCTGTGCACTTTGTACATGTAGTTTTTACCTTCTATGTTCTATGCTCCACACACTGCAGCTGATCTCTGTCAGAATCAATGTTAATGTTCAGATCACATGTATTTATCACAAATCAATGTATGATTTTCTTGTGGGTCGTTACGTATTGCAGTGCTCCACTTACAGTGCATATACTGTAATATACTGTACATGTTGGCCTATGATCATACACAGACACTACAGGAGAAGTCCTCCACACTCAGGTGTATACATGAACCTTGAAAAGAAAAACAGAGAACTCCTCACACTGTCCATCACTTGAACTGACTTTATTATTACTATGAATTATTTACTTTTTAAAAATTGTTGATTGTTCACACTTAAAGGTACATTGTGTAGAATTTAGTGACATCTAGTGGTGAAATTGCATGTTGCAGCTGATCACCCCTCACCTCACCCTCCCCTTCCAAACATGTAAGAAAACCTGTGGTAGCTTCAGTTGTCATAAAAACTCAAAAGGTGTTTAGTTTGTCCAGTCTGGGCTAATGTAAAAAACATGGCGGCCCCCTTGATGTAAATATAAAGTATTTAAATATAAAGGGCCTTTTCTTGGGTAAAGGGAATTCGTACAATTTTAATGACACACATAGTGAAAACATCATGAAGATTATTTTTATTACCCCTTTCACCTAAATCTTACGCACTGAACCTTTAATGATGTGCAGCAACTGTTTGGACTCTAGAAATAGCACCTTGATTTTTCCTAGTGGAATTTTCATTTTATTCAACTCATCACTGCCACCCCAAATATATGAAATATACAATCAAAAGTAAAGATCCCGCAGTAAACTGCATTTATGTAAACATTAAGAAATTCACCTGAGATCTGATACAATTCAGATGTTATTATAATTCTGCATGTTTTGTATAGATATTCACTCATCTCACACTTGATTAGCCTCAGATCAACCATAAACAGTTTGCAAGATCCCTCCACACAGTCACACACAAAGGAATATTCACCAAAATTTAAATTTGAATAATGAAAGGACCGTACCTGCTGCACGTGACTCATTAGCAAATAATCACATATACTTCACATTCCTTCTACTTTCTTTTACATTGTGTTAAAGGATGTTTTTGATATTTCACAGATTTATAGTATTTGGGAATAGTTTATCATCTGGAACACTTAGTGAACTGATATCTATGAGTGTGTGATATTTCTTGCAGTGTGACTGAATTTAAGGGGAATGTTGGGCCTCTGGGGGCAGTGTGCGCTCAGTGAGCCATTCCAGATGGGTTTGAGATCACTTAAGTTTAGGAAGCTCATGAAACATACACTGGGACATATAATCATTTATAATTTAAGATTTGGTATCCAATAGATTATTCACACATGTACAGATGTGTGATGTGGTCCATATATATCCTATATAAATATCCTTATTTGGACATGTTGTAAGTTTTGTATGGGTTTAAATATACCTGACAGGAAATAGTCATTCAGAACTGAATGGGATTTCACAATGTTACCTTGGACTGCTCATCTCTATTCTCCACCTTTTGACGTAAATCTAAATGTAAAACTCTTTCTTGCTGGTGAATCTATGAGCAGGAAAACATTGTCCCTGTTAAGGTGAGGAAAAACAAACATTTAATCATGTCCAGTTTCCATGTTTCCAAACTGTTTTGTGCTGACATACTACACAGTGAAAGGGACAATGAATTTCTTCTTTTGATTTGGCTGCAGGTCAGGAAATCAATCAGAAAACCACTGACATTAAAGAAATGCAGCAGTAATGATCAGTTTGTGATATTTGTAATGAACACACTAAAAGACGTACTGGTCCTCACACACTCTCCACTCAAAAACCGGATGCTAATTAAAGCAGCTGTGTGATTGAAAGTTAGGATAACGATCACTGCCCTAAAAGTGCATCATAGTCTATGTACCACACCAGTCTGCCATGAGCAGGGTTCACCCCTGTGACGGGCCATTTTACTGGGTTGTCCTTCATTCGGCTCAGCTGGGTGATCAGCTCATGTTTGCCTTTACCCATTACTAACACAGCAACTGTGTGTGCACGGTTGATGGCGCTGAACGTGAGGCTCATGCGCTGGTGAGGTTTGACAGGGCTCTCGGTGAGGGCCACCAGACTCTCCCCGTATTCATCCACTTTAGTCCCAGGGAACAGAGAAGCAGTGTGGCCGTCGTAGCCGGCTCCCAAAAGCACAAAGTGGAAGCTGGAGCCGTTCACCAACATGTTGATGTCTTTCTCATACAGCTGTGCTCCTCTGTCCTCCTCCACACACAGACGAAGATTGAGCTGCACTGGCATGGGGTGGATGTTGAAGTACGGTATCCTAACGTGCTGCAGCAGGAGGTTGTACAGCGTGTAGAAGTTTGACTCCAACTCAGTCAGCGGCACGCAGCGCTCATCCACCATCCACACGTGGGTGTCCCTCCAGGGGAAGGAGAAATGGTGCAGGACCAACCTGTGGAACAGAGCGATGGGTGAGGACCCGCCAGAGAGGGCGAGATGGAAAACGCCGCTCTCACGAACCGCTGCCTCTGCCGCTTCCTGCACATCTGCAGCCAGCTGCTCCACCAGCTCCTCGGCCCAGGCGGACACCATGTCGGCACTGCGAAATTTGCCTTGAATGACTTGGAAACCGTTTGCTGCAGTGCCACCCATCTGATCATGGCTGATTATCACCACCTCGCTGTTGTAGCGAATGTCCCTACCTTTCAGACAGAAGTCCAACAGGTCCTCATTGTCTGCACCGCCAGGGTAGATGCGGGGAAAAGAGCTGGCTAGGCTACTGAGCAGTGGTGTCCACAACTCCCACGATGCCAGCAGGTTTTCAACACTAATGAAAGTATTCTTCTGTCCAGCAAAGATGTGAGAAATCAGCTCTTCATACGCTTCCCTCTGCTCTGTTGGCGTTTGCACATAGTAGTCTGAAACAGGCAAACCTAAAACACTGACGTCTCTGTGCTCTGTCACTTCCTTCCACTCACCGTCCATTAAAACCGGCTTGAATAAATTCTTACTCACAAGAATGGCTGGATATTGAAGGCTGCCATGACCCAAGTGGAAAACAATCTGTTTGGGTTTGCAGTGAACGCTGTGGTGGTTCTGAACGCAAAAGATGTCATTCTTGAAAAGTATTCGAGCGTAACTCACCCGCTCATCCAACATCTTCCCTGAGACTAAAAGAACTGGAACACCTTCATACTGGGTCTCATCGATGTGGGCCAGCACAGCTGCAATACACAAACAGGATTATTACCAGAGCAGGAAGCAACCGGTATTAGGCTCAGCTACAAGTGTAGAACGCAACAAGTGTTGCTGACCCTGTTGTCTTTGCTAACAGCAGTTGAGCAGTAAAATTTAACTTTGCTCTTTCTGCGAAGTAACAATCAAATGCTTCCTGTTCCTTCCTGCTCACCAATATTCGATAGATTCTCCTTCCTGTTTATACTGGCCCACCTATGTCCAATGTATGTGAGTGGTCATGTGATATGCGTTTTCAGGGATGTTACCATGGACATAGATTAAAATGGAACCAAAATGTTTTTTTCAAATGAATACATAGTGGTATGGATTTAGCCTTAAAGAAAAAAAGTTAGTTGAAAAGTTAAAACCTAGTTCTCACCTGCAAATGTTGGCGTGAGACTGACGTGACCTTTCGTCTTATTCAGCTCCTGCTGAACCTCTGACTTGTACGCTTGGTATTGGCCAATCACAGCCTGATTCTTTCCTAAGGGCAACAGTGAACTGAGGATCTGCAGCTTGTTTTCAACGACTTCCTCAGTGCAGGTCAGATTTAAGGGAAGCTTCATGGTCAACAGCATCATGACCTCGGTCAGGTGGTTCTGTATCACGTCTCTGATCACACCATACTGGTCGTAGAAGGGAATACGACCTCGAGGGGAAAATGGCAAAGGGCAGACGTGAATACATGACTCCTAGGAATCCTCGCTACTTTTTCCTAATACAAGTTTTAATTCAGTTTTATTCACCTTTAACATCCAGGGTCTCTTTCATCACAATCTCCACTCTCTCGATGTGGTGCTTGTTCCAGATGGGATCCAGAAACTTCTTGTTCTCTATTCTGAATTTAAGGATCTTTGCAATCACCTTCATAAAAAAGCAAGAAGACAAAGCATGAAGTCAAACATCTTGATTCCAGATTCTCAGGTGAGAGGCACACACTGTGGAGGATGTCCTTACCTGCTTTCCCAGGTAATGGTCGATTCTGTACATCTCCTCTTCCCTCAAGGAACTCCCAAGCTGAGACGCTAGCACCTGAGCACTTGTAAAGTCATGTCCGAAAGGTTTCTCTAGCACCACCCTCAACCATGCCCCGCTGGTTGGTCTGCAGCTGTTGTTGATTTTATCTGCAATGTCTGCGTATGCAAAGGCAGGCACTGAGAGGTAGAAGAGTCTCCCTGCCTCTGTGATTCCCTTCTCCTGGAGCCGCTTCTCAATATGCTTGGCCAGATCCTGGTAGTGCTCAAGAGTTTTTAGCTGCCGATACTGTGCAAGTCGAAGGAACTGCTCTTTCAGAAGAGCGCAGCGCTCCTCAGATACATCCTTTGAGCATGACACCGACTTCAGGATCTCAAAGAGGAGCGGAGTGGCCTTGTCGGCAGGTGACTGTCCTCCGCCGTAGAAGGAAAAGGTCTTACCACTACTGACCTGCTTTACATAGAGCTGGAAGAAGCCGTTCCACAGGTACTTCTTTGCCAGGTCACCGGTGGCTCCCACTATCACCACAGAGACATGATCTGGTCTCTTAGCCTCCTCACCATGTCCTCCCAAGGCACACAGAGAGACCAGGAGCAGGAGCACAGTCACAAACATGATCTGGTCTCAACCGTCCAAACTCCTGAATGAAGACAGCCATGACACACGTTACATGTAGGTAACCAATGTGCACAACTGAGGACAATTATTTTAGCCATCAACTTCCAGGCTGGCAACTACTTTCTCAATAAAATATAAGAAAGTATAATTTAATAGAACCACATATGTTGCAAAAGAACTGAAAAGGTCTTTATTTTGATAGTGCAAATCGACTCTCAGAAACAGGAAAACCTGTTGTGATGGCCTCTGGCTGTATGAGAATCCTGGCTCTGTCCTGCCTGTGTGTTTTCATCAAGATCTCTGTATAATTTCTTTAGAAATTCACAAAGTATGTCGAGAACCCTATTTCCTGATGTTAAAGAAAAAATCCTGGATCTGCAACGAAATCCATGGGCTCTTCCCTGAACCATACCAACCCCAATATTTGTCCAGTAGGTTTTGCGTAATCATGCCAAATATCAAAAAACAAAAGCAGATGAAAAGATAACCTCCTTGATGAGGTCAAAATTGAAATTCTGTTCCTCGACTAATTGCACGTTTTCAGCTTAAATTGATTTCAGTAAAAGCAAATTCAACGCAACAGTTCTTCTGTCTCAAAAACTAACTTTGCTTCATGAACGTCACATAACAGAAACAATACAAGTGAGAAATGAAAGCAGTCACACTCATAGTATGAAACTTATATAAAACAATAGAGAAATATCTTCCAGAGTTTTCCTTTAACAAACAAGATTTAAATCTCATCAGTTTATACAGCATAAAACTACTAAAGCTAAAAGTTTTATCAAACATTTTACATGCATGATTTAATCACTATGAATGTGAGCAGTCGTCAATATAAACTTCAAATACACTGGAACCTACCCAGAGTCTCCACAGAAACAGATAAGAGATGAATAACTCAGCAAAAGTCTGTGTCCCAGGTCACGTCAGAGGCGAGATGTGGTGCAGTGAAAATGTCATGAGTGCAGTGATGACTGCGTCGTGGTGGAGCAGGCGTGTACACACGCTGCTCAGGGGCGTCGAGCTTACCACACAAATATTCTACTGTTGACAAGAGTGCTGGGAAAGTCTGAGCAACTTATTGCTGATTTTTTTTGCAAGGACCGAAAATCATTTGTGCAAGACGGAAAAGCTAGAGAAGTTATTAGTAAGTCAATACTTTCTCATATGAGTCAATTTTTCTTTGTTATCATGTCTAACTCGGTGTATTTTCTTCATGCAGACGTTTTTTTTTTCGACTCAAAATTGATCACGCACAAGATAAAGCTGATGTTATGACATCTGGAATCCCCTGTGTTCCACAATCATGTTTACACAGTGAATATGCAAACAGCAAAGTCCACCTTTATGTAGACTATCTGCTTCAATACCAGCTTCATTTGAGCTCTGTTCTGAGGCAAAAAAAATATTTGTATTTTCATCACATCTTATACAAACTGATGTAATATATTAGTTAAAGACATTGTTTCCTACCCATTTAAATTATTTTATTTTATAATTTTCTTTAAATGCATGTACTCATGACTTCTAGGTTATTGCACACATGCAATTCCTCCCACTTGAATCAATTAAGTGGCATATTATTTTAAAAGACACTATCTTCATTCCGATTTTGACATTATTTTGTTTTATTTCTTCCAACACATGATTTCCCCTTAGTCACAAGCTGTCTTCATGTTAACATAGAAAATCTTCCCTTGCCTCACATTCACGCTGCAAATCGTCTCGTGCATCCATCAAATTTGCCATAAACGGTGAACAACAAAAGAAATATTGAGTATTCACATATTCCTCTCAAATAACAACCTCCCTACACCAAACTGCCTGGTATTAGATTTTAATTCTAGGAAAGCAAATACTTTTTTTATTCCAGATGCCAAATAAAGACAGTTCCAAGTATGACCCACAAACCAGAGCAAATGGCTCACATGTACACAAGGACTTGTCTAATGACTGGGCAGTTTTTTTCACACAACAGAGATATGATGGCGCCCAGTTTTGCGATTTGCAGCCACATTGGTCACAGCAGGGTGGTCTGAGGTAAAAAAACATACAAGTCTTCTGACAGAACCGCAGGCGTGCTAATGCAATTCACTCGCTATCGTAAGAAACTGACGAGTCCATTCAGCTCTACTGCACCGTGACCAATATTCAAGTCGTTAGCCTTGAGTTCACAGTACATGTTTCTCAATAATATGCCCCCTCCTCACTTATGGTGGTAAAATGGAGACGCCAGGATAACAAATCTTGTCGTGTATCGTCACAACAGGAGCACTGTGTAGGTAGCAACAATCATGACATCATCGCCTTCATCATCAAGAGCAAAATAAAAAGCTGAGTGTGATCTTTCATTTCTTTCATTCATATTTTGTGATACAAGCAAACAGATTTTTTTCTTTTACATAAATCATTGAAACCCAACAAACCCTTTTTTGGTTTAACTTAGAATAATACTTCTGTAGATTACTTGTAAAGTAACTAAATAGATGGTTGTTGCTGTCTGTCTTGTTTGTGAAGCACTTTGTAGGCTGCCACACACACACACGCGCGCACACACACACACACACACACACACACACACACACACACA